GGCCCCCGCAGGCCCCGGGACCATGGTGGTGCTGAAGGGCGTCCCCGCGCTGCTGTCCCCCGAGCTGCTCTACGCCCTGGCGCGGATGGGGCACGGAGACGAGATCGGTGAGCGCGGCAGAGGCAGAGGCTCGGGGAGACCGCTGCATCGGGCAAAAAGTCGGGCGAGGCTCCCGGTTCCCTCGCTGCCCCCGGCCCCGCACGGGTCCTGGCCCACGTGATGTCCCGGCCAGGAGGCGACGGACTCCTGGCGTCCAGGAAGAGCCGGGTCCTGGGTGAGGCCACTGGTTTGGCCGTCCCCGCTTTCTTTAGGAAACTGAGGGCTGGGCGATCACGAGGACGATGGCCCTCGGCCTGGGAGGGATTGTGTCCCGGCGGGTCCAGTTCCTCCCCCAGCCCGAGGGTCCGGGTCCCCAGCGGCGAAGTCCACGCTCTGACCCCAGGCCCTCTGTGCGGCTCATACTCCAACCCCTTCCCGACGCGGCTCCCGAGGGGCCACAACCGCCTGCGCCTGGGCTGTACCCTGACGTTTGCAGTGGTTTCTCTTTTCCTGGGATTGTGGGCCTTGGGCGGGGGCTGCTGGCCGGACGCTGAGCGAGACTCCGGGCAGCATTCTGGTAACACCTGCAGTTCCTCCTGCACCTGGTGCTCCCTCTCCTTCAGCCTCCACTCTAACGGGATGGGAGGGGCAACGGGCGTGGCCTAACGCGTCTGGCCACTGACTGTGGGTGTGCGCCTGCCCGCGCGGTGGGAGGGTGGGCTGCACGGACCCACCTGGGATGTCTAATCCCTCCGGCTGTTCAGTTCTTGCAGACGTGAACTTCCCCACCTCCTCCATCTGCAGGTGTGGCCCAGAGGAGATCCGTGCCGACGGTGAGCTGCTACCTTCTTCTGAGATGGGTTGGGGAGGGTGGGCTCTGGGCTCCCCAGGAACTGCATCTCTGCTCCCACCCCCACCAATTACTCAAGCACCCATTAGTGACCCAGGAAATCCCAGTGCCAGGACCCTCAAGACCGTCCCTGCAGCCTCCAGTCCCTGAAAGTGAGCCTTGGGGCCTCCTGCTCCATCTTGCACACCACTTAGTAACTTCTTACAAATGAGGAAACTGAGGCCTGTGCCTTGTTGGCTGGCTGAGCAGGGGTTCCCCTGCCATCTCACCCCAGGTCAGATGTTCAGCCTTTGCTATGGAAACCCCCACACTGGTGACCTGGTCCTGAAGGCTCCAGGTGTCCACACACTCCATCTCTAAGACCCTCTGACCTCCCAAGAGCTAGTGGGAGGTGAGGCTGGGAGGGGTCTGGAGCCAGGTCTGGGAGGTGATGGTAGGAGCAGAGTTAGTGGTACTGTGGGTGGCAGAGGGTACGGGGTAGGGGCACCAGTGTCCTTTCCTGCCTGGGCTGGGACTGGGCTCAGGCAAGACTTGGATGCTCCCCTCAACCCCCAGCAAAGCTGTGAGTCAGGAACACAACTCTCCTTGCAAGGTTCAGGCCACTAAAGGCACAGAGATGTAAAGTGTGGGGTAAACCCAACCCCCCAGACAGAGCGGTCCTGACCCACAGGCCTTGGCTTCCACCCCTGCTCAGGGAGCTGAGCCAGCTGTGCCTGAGTTTACACCCTGGGCCAGGAGACCCGAGTGCTGTCCTGCCTATGAGGGTGGGACAGGGTGGGCCAGTGGAAAGGCCAGGATGCTGAAAGAGAAGGGGTGTCTCAGTAAATCATGGTGCAGCCCCTGGAGGTGACACACACCCCGCAAAACAAGCGGTTAGGATTCATATCGAATACACAGGAAAGTCTCACCTTGTAGATACGCAGGGGAAAAGCAGCAGACGGCAGGGGAAAAGCAGCAGACGGCAGGAAGATTTCCTGTACGGGGTTAAGATTACAGCCAATTCTTTCTTTTGATCAGATCTGTGTTTCCCAATTTTATACAAGAAGCATGCATTAGTTTAGCAATCAGAAACCAACTTTCGGGAGAGTGGGGGACCTTGGAGCCAAGTGGGACAGGTTTGGAGGCAGCCTTGGGCAAAGGGGCCTCTTTCCAGGCCCCACTGTCCTCATCACAGGGAGGTCATCTCCAAGGCCTTCTAGGGTCAAGGAGGAGGCCCAGGTGCCTCTCCTGGCAGATGGGTGTTTGGGATCACCAACAACAACCTGTGTGGCACAGAGTGAAGTGGGGTGGGCAGGGCCGGGACAATGACACCAACATGACCTCGATAAGTGTCACCAGGCAGGCCGCAGATGCCTGAGCTCCTCATCTGTCCTGGGCGCAAGTTTATCCTTGCTGTCCGAGTTAGTGAGATCCAGTGTGGAAAGAGTAGACAGGCAGGTGGGCAGGTGGCACTGTTGGTGGCCCGAGGGAGAGGGCCGGAGTCTGAGGCCAACACTCTGCCTTCAGGCCTGGGCATCCCTCAGCTCCTGGAAGCCATGCTGAAACTGCTACCACTGGACACCTACGTGGAGAAACCGGTGAGGCCTGCGTTGCGGCCCTGGGTCTCAGTTTACCCTTTGCCAGAGCTCAGGGGGCCCACCTGCCTTGGATGGTGGGGAGGACATGTGTCCCTGAAGGCTCTGATCAGTGGAGCCCTGAACTGTCACCCAACAAGGGGGTCCTGGAGGCACCCAGGGCAGGGGTGGGTGGGCTGCAAAGCTGACCCCCTCCATCTTCAGGCTGCCGTCATGGAGCTGGTGCCCAGCGACAGGGAGAGGGGCCTGCAGACCCCCGTGTGGAGGAGCTATCAGTCCATCCTCTTAGGGGCCGGCTGTGCGGTGAGTCTGAGGCCCCCACTGGGAAAGGGGTTGGGGACTCTGTGACTCCTTGGAGCCCAGGAGAAGTGAAAGACAGGTGCCCCAACCCCCACACCATGGTTGTGCAAGCTCCTGCCCTGGGGACGGCCACCTCTGCCCCCAGCCTCCTTCCTCCCTTCCAGGATCCTGACCTACCTGTCTCTGCCTGGGGGCCCTCACCCACCCCAGCCTGTCCCGGTGGGGACAGGGGGAAGTGGAGTAACCCCTGGTCCCCATATGTGGTCAGAGGCCTCGCCCAGTGCTGCAGGTCACCCCCAGCCCTGCACAGGGCTGGGCTTGTTGTCCAGGGACCACCCACTGGCAGGTCTTGAGCAGGCTATTCCTGAGAGAGGACCTGGGGCTCCCGTCCTGGACAGCAGCCCTCCCCCACAACCCAGAGCTCCTCAGATGATTCAAGGGCCCCAGGGAGGCAGCCACCAAACGTGGCAAACGCCTCACCCACCACAGCCCACTGTGTTCCTGCCCACCTAGTCCTTGCAGGTCAGAAGCCCCCTTGTCCGATGGGGCCTGAGTCCCTCAACCATGCCACCCTTTGCCTTCCAGAGCCCCCTGGCGAAGATAGAGAGGTTTGAGTTCTATGAGCGAGCCAAAAAGGCTTTTGCTATTGTGGCAACTGGGTGAGTTCTGGTTGGATCCTACTGAGTCCACTGGGTTCTACTGGGTCCAGCTGGATCTGGGTCAAGCATGGGGCCCGACCCCTTCCCCCTCAAGAGCTCCCCGCCACCCTCCTCTCAGCCCCTGCCCTGGCTGAGACAAGATGTCCCACAGGGATTGGGACATCCCAAGGGGTGAGCCTGGCCCTGCCCAGTGGGTGATAAGAGTGGGTGGGGTGGCTGGTAGAGCAGGGGTCTGGGCACCCAGCTCTCTCTGTCCCAGCTAGCGCTCAGCTCAGCTCCTTACGCAGGGAGACGGCCCTTTACGGAAACCTCATCCTCAAGAAGGGGGTGCTAGCCCCCGACGCCCTGTTCCAGGCCTGTTGAAGACGCCCCTGCCCAGAGAGGAATCTGGGCCCCTGAGCCCAACAGTGCCACTGGCAAGCACATCCAGCAGCAAGATGAACGGCCTTGCCCTGTCCGGCCAGGGGCTCTGGGTCCGGTGCTCAAATGATCCCAATTTGTGGAACTGATGGAAATTGTAGTGACTGGCCAACGTTCAATCCAGATTTAAACAGCTCTGTCCTTACTCACAACAGCCTGTCTGGCGCCGAGCACAGTGGAGGCTACTGGGTCCCCAGAGAGCAGACCCTTCCCTGCCCACGATGAGCCCCCAGGTGGGAAGTATTGCCTCCCTCCTCCCTATGGGTTTGGGCCACCTGACTTGGCAGGTCCCTGGGTTTGGGACCAGAGCTCACACATGTAGATACCCTCATGTGGGGAGACCCCACAGAGGACCTGGGAAGGGGACTGGGGGACTGGAGGCCTGGATGGGGGCAGTGGTGATGCAGCACACTGCCGGGGGCCTGGAGATGGGTACTTCAGCTGCCTAGGCCACCCTGAGGGGGGCAGGGGCTTCTGCATCAGCACCCAGGGCTGCAGACACTAAGGTGGCCCTTGAAGAGGGGACATGGGCTGTTCCTGCATCCCCAAAGGAGGAGGGCAGGTGACAGGGCTGGTCTGGGAACCCTGGAGCTGAAGCACAGGCTTGAGCTACGTGGGGCGCCCAGGCCTGTGTTCCCTCGCTCTAGTGGTTGAGCGCCTACTGAATACGCACAAGCCTGAGCAGTTCTGCAGACGGGGGTGGGGGGGTGGGTAAAGGACAGGAGGATGCCCGGGGCTCAGGCAAAGGACCTTCCTAAAGGAGGCCTGAGAGGCTGCAGGTTCTTGAACTGAGTCTCACGGGGTGGGGAGAACCAGCACCTCCATCAGCGGGCCGCCTCCTGCCCCGCGCCCACTGGTCTGCCTCCTCACGGCAGATCAGCCTGCACTTAGCAGAACTTCCCGAATGGACTGCAGCGCACCCTTTTGTCTGGCTTCTCCCTCGGGGTGACTCGGTGGGATGCGTGCGTGTTGTGTGCGTCGAGGACGCTTCTGCTGCTGGGCAGGACTCCACCGTGTTCCAGCCGCGCACCGGTGCGTGGTGCGGGGTTGTTTCCAGTTCTTTTTGACTGCAAGTAAACTTCCTGTGAACGTGCGTGCACAAGTCTGTTTCTCTGGGCTCACACCTCAGGGTCCAGGCTGGGTCAGAGGGCAGGTGTGTGTGTAACTTCCTGAGAAGCTCCCAAACCGTTTCCAGAGCAGCTGAGCTAGTTTACGCACCAGCCCCAGGCCTGCCGTCCCAGCTCCTCGTCCCGTGTGCTGGGCTCCTGAGAGCTGCTCTGACAGGACTGTGGTGGTGTTGCCTCCAGTTTTCATTTGTTTCCCTGTTGATCAAGGACGTTGAGCATTTCCTCGTGGGTGGACGTGCCTTCCAGCTACTTTCTTTGCTGACATGAATGTTCAATCTCTTGCCCATTTTGGCACCAGGGCCTTTAATGATTTTGGTACCAGGATCAATGTGATGGGGGCTCCCACCCCATCCCCAGGCAGCCCCGCTGGGTGTCCTGCAGCTCAGCCGGGTTCTGACACCACCTGCCTGAGGACGCGTCAGATCCCTCAGGTTCACGGCTCAGTCTCGCAGGACTGCCCCAACACCGCCTGTCCTCCAGGTGCCAGTCCCAAGTCCAAGTTGTCACCTGGGCTTCTGACCAACTGGCTGTAGATCGGGGGCTCCCACGACCCCTCCCTGGGCTGGACTGATTTCCTACAGCTGCTCACAGAACTCAGAGGAACATTCACTCACGAGATCACTGCCATCTTTGGATGTGACTCCGGGACAGCCAGGTGGAAGAGATGCGGGGACGGGCCCCCTACCTCTCCAGGCACCACTCTCCCTGAATCTCCTCGGTTCACCAGCCCAGAAGTGCTCCAGGCTCAGACCTTTGGATTTTTATAGAGGCTTCATTACAGAGGCGTGGTTGGTGAAATCTTTGGCCGTTGGTGTGCGGGCCTCTCCCCTTCCCGAGGTCTGGGGGTGGGGCTGCAGTTCCAACCCTCTGGTCCTGGGAGGTTCCCTGGCAGTTGGCCCCCATCCCTAGGGACCGTCCCAGGGTCCCTTCATTCCTACAGCAAAGGACACCTTTATCATGCTCATCAGGGTTTTAGGAGCTTCATGCCAGGATCAAGGACGAAGACCAGGTGCATATTTCTGATTATAAATCGTGTCGCAGTCTTTTTCACTCAGTCCAAGCTCTTGTCAGGGAGCGCCGGGGCCACAAAAAGCGTCTTGGGCTCAACCAAATGCTCAGACTTGGGAGAAGAGCATAGAGCATCCTTGCTGGCCATCTACTCAGGGAGGACGTCCCACGGGGTGCAGTGGGTCGCAGCCAGCTCAGGTGTTTGGGGTGAGGGTCAGTGGGTACCGCCTCACTAAGAGCCCACGGCCCCCAGAGCCAGTGTCTCTGGCCACCGCTCTGCAGGTGCAGCGTCCAAGTTCCCGCCAGGGCTGCTGCCTCGGGGAGCCAAGGCTGTCTGCATAAGCAGTGCTGCCTAATGACACCGGGACACAGAGCGGTGACGCAAGCTCAATGGGTCTGTTTGCCTCTGTAGGTGGGGTGAGGGGTGGGAGTGCGCCTGGGAGAGCTCGGGGAAGGGGCTTGCGGGGGACTAGCCAGCCAGGGGCCTCCCCTCCCCTCTCCTCCACTCCCGATTCCAAGAAAGGCTAGAAGGAGCCACACCTATCGTTGGTGACAGACCCGTGGTCTGTCGCCTCTGCCAATGTCTCCTGCTCCTGAGGCTTGCATGCACTGAAGCACACGTCCAGGTCCCCAGCTCACTCTGCCTCTCCAGCTGTGCCCTGGTTGGAGGAAGTGTCCTCGGAGGAGGGCTGGAAGGAGACTTGGCCACAAACACCACCATGGACTCCCCAGGGCCGTGGCCACAAATGACCTTGGGTCCGAGCTCACTGGGATCTGGGGACACCTGTACCCAAATCACTCAGGGGTGGCCCCCTAACCAGACAGAGGTGTGACCTGGAGAAGCCATGAGCCTCACGCATGCTGAGTTCAGGGCAGCCTGAGACCTGGGCGCAACTCCGGGGACTCGCAGACACTGCTCCTCGGGTCTGGGTGGGAGTAGGGGCCCCCGACTTAGCAGGCAAGGTGCACGGTGGTGAGGCGCATGGCGGCAAGGCTGGGACCTGCTCTGCCTGTGTCGGGGCAGGGTCTCAGGCTCCTCATGGGTAACACAGGGCTGGCAGAGCTTCTGCTCTGTGGGTGCTGGGAGGCATGTTTGAGTTCTGGGGGCTTGGGACTTGCTGGGCAACAGGAGCTCCAGGGCACATGGGGTCATCTGGACAGACCCAAGGTCCCCAGAGCAGTGAGGTGTGGCATTCTGTCTTGGCCACAGAGCCGACTCTGTCTGGGCCACGGGAAGGGCTCGGGCACCAAATGCTTCCCTCTCGATGCAGGGGCCGACTGCTACCCAGAAACCCCATCTGAATTGCACGCGCCCCGGCACAAACACTATGTGTGGAGTAATTCCAGTGACCCCATACCTGCAGCTGTGACTTCAGACCTGCTGAGCCAGGCCAGGCCAGAGCTGGGGACCTCAGACAGTGCCAGCAACTGCCCAGAAAATGAGGACAGAAAGTCTGGACCCAAGTCCACTCTTATTCACCTGTGCACCTGAGCACCTGTCCACCTGTCCATCTGAGGAGTCAGACTGGGCTCCCTCCTCCCAAGACCTTTCCATTCTCAGGACCTGTCTGATGGAGCCCAGGGTAATTCCACCCTGACCACTGGCCTTTGCCACACCCCAGCCCCCTCCCAAGAGCATGGGCTCTGGGCGTGGGCAGCAGGGATCAGCCTTGTGCTCCTGGGGGCTCTCGAACTGGGGGGCAAACCCATGGCCCCCCTTCTCCCAGACAACAGGCCAGGGCCCACAGTCACTGATCTTGAAGACACATGTGGCCTCCACCTCTTTGCAAGTTTTATTTTTTCCAGCTAGGAAGGGGTTAGGACTCCCTGGGATGGTAGATGTGGTCTCGGTCCTCCTCTGGCCCTTCGAGCACCTGGTGAGATGGCAGCACCAGAGCCCTGACCCCCGCCTCCTCCTGGGGCTCCTCCAGCCAGCTGTGATACAGGCTGTCACGGTCGGGCTCAGGGCCCAGGATGTCCTTGGCACCTACGGACAGACAGATAGAGGTATGGCCTCAGCTTCCCTCTCAAGGCCTCATCAGCCAAGTCGACCCCTGGAGGGCTCCCCTGCCATGGCCTTGCTCCTCCTCCCAGGGGTGGTGCCTGCCCTGACCTTGCTCCCCCTCCCAGGGGGCAGCTGCGACCTTTGGTGCCACAAGCAGCCCCATGAGCTGGTTGTCCTTCTCCAGAGGCTCCATTGCTCGGACACCCCAGGCCCTGTGAACAAAAGCCCCTGGGTCAGGTCCACGTGTGCAGCAGGAGGCCCCAGGGCCAGCACGCTGCCACTCCCAACCCAGACCCTCGGGCCAGGTGCCCCTGCCATACCCCTCATGTGCAGAGCCCAGGAAATCCCTGAGGGTGAGGGGCATGGGAAGACATCCTGGCCCAAGACCAAGGCTGTGTTGCCTGGGGGGATCCATGGGGACGGGGTTGCTCTGTGCCATGAAGACCCCTGGGACTTGTCCGAGGTTCTGTCCTGTCCAGATGTCAGCAGGCCCCAGGCCTGGTCAGGCTGTCCTCACATGGGTGCAGGAATGGGGCACAGTTCAGAGGCTTCTCTGTCTCTGCCTTGGCCTTGAGCGGGAGCCCTAGCAGGGACTGCAGCCTGGAGTCCCCAGGCTCTGTGATCTGCTTGGTTGTTGACAGACCCAGAGACTCTCGCATCACCCCTCCCCAAATCTGCTGGACGGGACCTCTCCTCCATCCACCAAGGCCCCCAGCTCAGGGAGGCCCCAAAGAGGGTACAGCAGAGGAGTTCAGGAGAGGCTGCTGGGGGCACTCACTCCTTTGTGTCCTGCTCCGTGCTGACTTTGCCTTTGGTCTTGAGAAGGACCTGAGAGAGGGAGGCCACAGATGTAGGCTCAGCACAGTCCTCAAAGCGGCTAAGGTCAGAGGACAGCTCCAAAGCCCCCTGGATCACACTTGCTGACTCCATTCCACCCCTGCCTGCC